GCTGACGTACGATCAGGCGTCGGGTTGAGCAACAAATTGGAGGAAAGCGCGTACAAGCTGGCAACTTCACTATTGGCAGCAAACCCCAAGTCATCATTTTCGTTTCCCGTGGGAATCAGATTGGATGTTACATTCGATGGCTGTTGCGTTGATTCTCCCAAGCCTGGGGAACCAATGGGGAATGCACCAACATTCCGAAGGGTGGACCATGTTCGACGTAAGTTTACGGGAGAGCTGCCCAGGATTTTGTGCTTGAAAGGGATTGTTTCGTGTTTCTATGGGTTATAAACAAGGCTTGAAAAATCAGCAAATAGAAATGTTATTTTGTTTCAATTAAAAAACAATGGAGCAGGGGTTTTCAGGGATACCTTCGTTAAAATCTGCACTCGCTTGACTCGAAAGGGGTGCAGGCCATGGTTTGCTGCCAGGGTTTTGACATTTCACACTACCCGGATTTTGACCAATTAACGGGTTGCGACGTGTTCGATTTTCATGAACCCGGACATTGACGGGTGCATTTTGACCAGAACACATTAAAGCGAGGGTCTCAAGAAGCAAAAACCAAACCCAAAGGTTTTGGTTTCGGGGGGTCTCAAAAATTGCGGGGTGTGGTAAGGGGTGCTGGTTGGGCACTGTAACTGTTTCGCAAAGTTCGTCAACCCAAAACCAAAACCTTTGGATTTGGTTTTCTGCTTCTTGAGACCCTCGCTTTAAGTGATGTGTTAGGTTTTGATAAACACGGATACAGAACTAGAGCTTCTCACACCACCCCACCGACTCCCAGCCATTCCCCCTCCCCAGGGCAAATCGGCCCTAGCAAGGAAGTTCCAGAGGTGGAAGTCGAAGATCTTACGTGGTTCCCTTAGTAGAATCCAGGAACTTTTCGTAAGAGCTTTTGTTATCACAAATAAATAAATAAATAAATAATCGTGACAGAACTCGGACACTGACGGGTAATGTTTCACATGAGCCCGTTTAATCCGGGTCTGCCGTGTGGACGAAAACCCTAAGGTAAGCCCTGATCGTGCGCCACTCGTCCACTGAGACCACCGGAGTGAAACGTCTTTCAGTGTCGTACAGTCAGCTCGACGACGTGGTCCGGTTTTACAGCACATTGGAGCTGCCCCAGAAAGACGATACAGTAGAGTACCCAGTACAGCGGAACACAAAATCGCACACAGCCCGCTAGTACCCCCGTCCACCTGGCACTTTTGCATGGGCACGCTGGCATGGGCATGCCTACGTACCCCCTTTTTCATCCATTCTGTCATACGATTACGGTCCTATTCTAATCCTCGTATCAAGAGTATTCAGGGCGTTTTCTATTTTTTAGAACCAATCACGTAAATATTTAGGCTTCCCTTGTGACACGAACAGGTCAATCCTACATTCGAAAACACGACCCTCATTCCCTCAATAACCGTTGACAACTGCACATTTCAAAAATGATTTTCTCAAGGGTTTTTTTTTTGCTTTTGTAGAAACGTGTGGTTGGTTAACGAATCCACTCAATTAAGTCGTCAGAATTTCGCTGCGTTTAGCCCTTTTCGTGAGACCGCGAGAAGGGTTTTCCAATTTTTTTGTTTTGCGCGTTTTGAGCCTGCGCTGCTTGTGGGAAGGTCGAGAACGAGGTGTTACTTTTTTTGTCCGCGTGTTTCTGACCAGACGACAAATTCGCGGAGCGTTTTTTAAGAGGCCACATGAGCCCTCACATGACACGCGGCGAAATCGCTGGTAACCTTGCCCATGTGGCCAATACGCCAAGGCACCCATCGTGAACAAAACAAGTAAAACGGCCTACGCCACCCCACCTAAAATCCCTCGTGCTACTCTATTACCCATTTTGCCCGTTGCGTACCGCTCCTATTCGTCGTAGTCCTTATTTGCGAGTCGAGGATTTGGAGCATAGAGCATACCCGCTGTACCGGGCAGCTCCAATGTGCCCAGTGCTGTACCGACGATGCCCAACTGTACCCAGTCGTGACAGAATTTAATGAGGCTAGCATTCCTTGGGACCGACAATTGTCGATCACGCGCCGGCTTGATTTCCAGCTTGCGAGCAATCATGAATTCGTGGTGTTTTTGTGTGGTGTGAAGTACACACCATTCCGCGCAAAGATGACATGCACGCGCGAAGCATCTCTCTCATCTCGTCTCGACTTGAGTCGACCAACTAAAGGAGTTTGAGCTGAGGGCAGTTTCCCCTTTGACCCGAAGCACTGACGGTTTGAAGCCATACACACCTCATCAATATTCCTGACGTGTGAGCGTCTACACAGCTTCGAGTTAAAAAAAACTGACACTAGGGGAGGACGTGCCCAAATATGAGAATTTGTCGTGAACAGGGTACGCCCCTAATGTTGAAAATTTTAGAGTAATTTCTCGACTGGTTCCGTTTTTCGACAGAGTGAAATTACCCCGATTCCTTCTGCCTCACGGATTAGGTTTCGTGTAATTCCTTGAGATAACAGGTTATCTCCCACTCAATCCGTAAGTAGTGTACTTTTAGAGAGAAATCTGCAAGGAGCAAGCCAGTCAGAATGATCCCTCACGCCACCCGACCACTATCTAGCTTAGGAAAACGGTCCATTCCCTACATGGTGTTTAGGGGAAATACTATTTGCTTTCCCGATACCCCTGCGACATGGTTGAAAAGGACCCTCACACCTTTAGCCGTGGCAAAAGCACCCTTTCGTTGAGACTGGTAGGTGTGACATAAAAGAGTAGTACTTCAACGAGTCCGTTCGTTGACGGGTAAGTTTCAGGAGATTCCTTCCGCTAACGGATAATTTTGGGGACGATTCCGTTCCCTTACGACATGCCCTAGGCCTTAGCGAGAGACCTGGCTGATACTGTACAGCAACAAGAAAGGGGCTTCGAGAAGCATTTGGGGGGGCGGGTCCAAATATTTCACACCTGTACAGTAAAGAGAAGCAAAGAGAAAGGGGCTTCGAGAAGCACTTCGAGAGACCTGCTCAGGCCTTAGGGCAAGTCCAAATATTTCACACCCTATTCATTTCGTGGAAAGTAGCCCGATTTTAACATCTTTTATATTCCGCGAGGGCGCGTGCGCGAAATCGACGTAACTCGGGAAGCTCGACGCATGCACCCCAGCTATTTTGCATTTACGATTCGGGAGACGGTAGGTGTACATTTGGGGGTGGGTGAGCGCGTGTGGCGCTTTGGAGTTCCGCCAAGCCAAGCTTGGCGAGAACAAGGCGACCTCGCGAACAGCTCGCGTGGCGCAACACCAAATCGCACCTGTCACCCAGCCCTGCACGAAACATCATTTTAGCAGAGTTATACCGTGTGTCAAGCATGTGCTATAGCCCTACGTGATACGTGGAAGCACATACTGCCCGGGTGTCAGGGGAGTTCGACGCTGGCGGTAATATTGCTCGCTCGCTCAAACCAGTGAAAATCGCGTCTACCAGTCAGGTACAGTGTCGCATATGTTGACAGACCAAAATCCGCGAAACAAACTGACCTAATTGGAATGCCCCACGACCTAAGTTTGCGACAAGCGAACTACTAGCAAATCTCGCCTGACCTCGCTAATGCCACCTGGCGACGCTTTTGGAGGTCCTGGTGTCAACAGTCGCGCAGTTAGATCGACCTGTCCCGCGGGCCAGCTCGCAAACCCTGTACCGACCGTCTGCGTCATTTCTAACTGCGCCCTGAGATGTGCGGCGTCAGAGGCGAACCGTTTTTTTGCGACGCACCCACTTGGCGCCAGCTTCTATTTTTGTTCGCAATATGGGACGCGGTTTGGGGGGAGATGGATTTTGGGATCCTTTTCTATTGTTGTACCCGAGTTCGTAAAAACGTTTCCAGAAAACACAATTGAACAATTTGGACCCGCCCTTATCGGCCTGGTTGGAGGTCCTTGAAACTACAGCACACGAACTCGCTAAAATTACCCTTACGCTGGTTCGGTTCTGTGACAATCAAGCCCATAAAAACGGAACCAGGGCAGAAGCCGACAAATTTATGGAAACCACAGATTGCTGCAATTCGATTGTGGTCAACCCCGAAACCCACAGCACAGAGAAAAGGTCCCGAAACCAGAACATCGGGTCGGGAGACGGTCAAATACAGTACAGAGATGCAATGCCACGGTGGCAGCTGCAACGTGTGAAGAGTGAAATCAGCGGGATCTTATTTTTTTACAGCGCCAGCCTTATCATGCTCAACATCCAAGTGGTGTGCATTGGCTCATTTTAGACCACTGGTTGGCGAGGAATGACTGACAGCTCGAATTGCCAGATTGACGACGAATGATTCGTTGGTCCTCAGGTCCTCGCTCCCCCAAACCTCCTGCAACGAATCATTGCGGGGCATTGAGCGAGCAGGCACTCAACTGGGACACCCAGCAAGCAACGCAAAATCCTTCTTTCCTTGCTTCCCTTGTTTGCCCTCCAAAGTGTGATTCCACAAGCCCGAGCTACTCAAATCATGGGTTCGACACCCCTCTTCTAGCAGTCATCTGCGACGCGCAATCTCCGAGGTTTGACCTCTTTTCCAGCAATTCCTATCCCCTTTTTACAGGAAAACGGCGCGGAAAAAGATGTGTGCCGTCACGGTTCGAAGCGGCAGCCACTGACGTACGGGCATCTGTCCTCTGGGTTTATCCCCTTTTCCAGCAATTCCTATCCCCTTTTTAAAAGGAAAACGGAGCGGAAAATATGTGTGCCTTTCGAGACGGCAGCACCGCCATGATCCGCGGCGTGGATGACGAGGTCCGCGGCGCGACAGCGGCAGATCTTTCCATGCAAGCAACTACCAGAATGTGGTCCAAACAGGTACCTTTCACTCTTTTTGGCTTCTTTTGAGGCCCATTTCTCCCTCTGCACGTCCGGCTGAAACAACTCAAAGGTATAGTCCATTTACTCCATCTCTCCGGTTCTCCTTCATTCGCCCCTTCTCTCCCCCTCCCCCGCGCTTCCGCCCGCGCATTCGGCTCGCAGGAGGACGCCACGCTGCTGCGCCACGCGCTGCGCTTCGGCACCAAGCAGTGGGGCGCGCTCGAGAAGAGCTGTCTGCTGCCGCACCGCGACAACAAATCCTGCTGCAACCGCTTCCTCTTCCTCAAAAAGTGACACACGCCCCCTCCCCCCTCTCCCCCCACCCCACCCCCTTTGCCCATTCCCCTCAAAGCCCCCCCACACCTCCTCCCCTCTTCACCCCCCCCTCCCCCTGCGATGTTTCTTCTCCCTGTCAACACGCCCCCCTGCGTCGCCCTTGTCTCTCTTGTCGCACCTGCCGCCCCAACCTCCTCAAAGCCCCTCAATCCCTCTCAACCCCTCCGTGCCGTTCTATCTCCACCTACCCCCAACCCTCAAACCCTGCAGGAAATTCAGCGAGTCGCACCGGCGCTGGCAAGCAGACAAGGCACACCCGGAGAGCCGCCGCTCGGGTGAGGCCAGCCTGGGTCAGCCGAGCAGCCCCGGGCAGAGGGGGGCGTCTCCAGATGCGGCAAATGAGCGGGCAGCAGAAAGCGACAGCAAGCGCAACGACCGGCACGACCAAAGCCCAGCTAACACAGGAGAAGCAGATGCATATGCAGAAGCAACAGCTGAAACGGCAGTAACAGAAAAGCCACCAGCAGCAGCACCAGCAGCAGCAGCACCAACACCAGCAGCAGCAGCAGCAGCAGCAGCAGAAGCGGCGCAGCCACGGGCGTACGGGCATCTGTCGCTGGAGGCGAGCGAGTGGCTGTTCCTGGGGCTCGGTGCGAGCCGCGACTGGCCTGAGCTGCACGACAGCATCGCCCTCACCGCTGCAGCCACGGCCGGCAGACTGGCTGCTGCTGGCACTCACGGCATTGCGCCACATGGTGCTGCCAGCACTAGCCTGATGACTAGTAGTCCGATGGCTAGAGCTGCTGATGCTGCCCATGTTTATGGTCTTGGCAGCCTACCTGGGAGCAGAGGAGGAGGAAGAGGGGCGTTTTTCCACCTGGAGTCTTGTCCTCCGCTGGGCGCTGGTGACGCTGCTGCCGGTGCTGCTAGTGCTGCCGGTGCTGCTAGTGCTGCCGGTGCTGCTGGTGCTGCCGGTGCTGCTGGCGCGTCGTTTGCTGCTCTCTCTACTTCCCTCCCGACTGCCCTCTCGGCCGCTCGTCCCGCTGTTCTGTCTGCTGCCTCTCCTTCCACTCACGCACCCTCTGCGGCACGCTCAGCTGCTTTGCGTCACGGACATTCAACATTACATTCAACATTTCTCGGGCAGACTTCTTTTCTCGGGCAGGCGTCTTTCCCCGGGCATCTGGCATGTGGGGTACAACCCTCTTTACACCCGCTTGTCGCAGGGAACTTCCCGCCGCTGGCAACGCTTCTGGCTGCGCACGGCTCAGTGTCAGGCGGCCGTCCCATTGCTGCTGATAGTGGCACCACTGCTGCTGCTGATAACGCCCCTGCTGCTGCTGCCGCTGCTGCTGCTGCTGCCAGTGCTGCGGCTGCTTTCCTGCCGTCTCTGGGGGACGATGCTGCCCCTCTTATGGGTGCTTCCGGTGCTGGCGCGAGCAGCAAGAGGAGGTTCGCGGATGTTCAAACGCCGGCGTTCGATGCAGCTGGGATGCTGTGCGAACCCCGGCAAGGAGCGGGAGCAGATGGTTGCTGGGATGGTGCTGGGATGCGAGAGTCACCTCCGACGCGGAGCACGAGATTCGAGGATGGCACGACGCTGTGTGAGTCAACGCAGGGAGGCGTCTCCTCCCTAATCCCGCGAATGAGCTTGATCAAGCAGCAGCTGCTCCTGCTTCAGCAGCAGCAGCAGCAACAGCAGCAGGGGCAGCAGGAACAAGAACGGGAGCAACAGTCTCAGCAGCAGCAGCGGCAGCAGCAGCAGTGTCTGAGAAGGCAGCAACTGCTGGAGCTTCAGCAGCTGCGGATGCGGCAGCAGAACCAGCAGCGGCTGCAGCAGCTGCAGCAGCAGCTGGAGTTGGCTCAGAACGTGCAGGAAGCGGCGTGGAGACGAAAACAGCAAGCCACCGTCCAGGTGAAGGAGGAGGAGACGCAGGATAAGGAGCAGCAGCAGCAGCAGCAGCAGAATGAGCAGCGGCTACAGCAGCAGCAGCAGCAGCAGCAGCAGCAGCAGCGGCGGCGGCGGCGGCAGCAGCGGCAGCAGGATCACACCGCACCCTCAGTGATGCGCCCAGCCCTTGCCTGTCACCCTCTCCCCTCTCTCCATATCCCACCCCGGCCCAACCTGCACGGCTGCCAATCCCACAGCAGCAGCTGGAGCACGGCTTCTTACCACCGCTCCCCCCACTCCCTCCCACTGTCCCCCATTGAACACCCTCACTCCCCCTACTCCCCCACTCCCCCCTACACCCCCACTCCCCCCTACTCCCCACTCGCCCCTGCGGCACCCTCACTCGCCCCTTCACCCCCACTCGCCCCTGCGCCCGCACTCCCCTCTAGAACATTCGTACTCCCTCTCCTTCCCCAACCCCCCTCCAGCCGGCTCCCCGTCCGACGGACCCTCGCCCCGACTCCCAAGGTCCGAGGTAAATCAGCGGCCAAATCCCCCCACCCTCCCGACCCTCCCGACCCTCCCGAACCTCCCGAACCTCCCGAGCCTCCCGAGCCTCCCCAATCAGCGGCCAACCCCCCCCACTCTTCCGTATCTCCCAGCCCCCCCGAGCCTCCAGCACTCGTTTCAGTTCCCCCCCCCCCGGCCCTGGCGGACGCAGCAGTGTGCAGATCGGCCACCTCCTCGTTTGAGGCGCCTCACACCTCATCGCCAGTACCAGCAGCACCGGCAGTATCAGCAGTATCGCCGCGTGAGGCGCCAGTGCAGTTGCACTCGCCTCCCCCCCCCCCTCGCCACTACCCCTGGTCTTGCGACGCGTTTCAGCGACCGCCCTTACCCGCTTCGGCTCCTGCCTCTCTTGGGGCACCTCTAAGACCGTCGTCTCATCCCTCCGCCACACTCGCTACTGTCCCACTTTGCAACAGCCCGCCCCAGCTCCGCTCCCCACAGTCACATCCGCTTCACTCACACAAGCACCAGCTCTTCCCCCCACCTTCCCGGGCGGATCCAGAAGGTTCGGCAGTGGTTGGAGGTTCGGCAGCTCGTGGAGGTTCGGCAGCGCCTGGAGGTTCGGCAACGCTTTGGCATAAAAGTGACTATATGGGGGATTACATGACGGGGGGTAACAGCAGCGGCAGTGGGGGCGACGGGAGCAACATGGCATGTGATACTAACAGATTGCTGGCTGGGAACATGGAAGGCACTGCAGCGTGTGACTATAACGAGCGCCCGGCTGTCAAGCCTCGCCTGGTGAGGCTGGTACCTGCAGCCAGCAGGTCTTTCACCTTCGGCGATCAGTATAAACGCGCCCTCGCTTCTGCTTCTGCTTCTGCTTCTGCTTCTGCTTCTGCTACCGCTACTGCTGTAACCATGGATGCTGCTGCGATTTTTGGTAACATGGTAACCAGCCACGGTGTCAGCAGCAGGGGGGTTGCTACCACCAGCCATGTGGTAACCAGCCAAGCCGTAACCAACCATTGGATACCCGGTGCTGGTGCGGCTGAGTTGAATCCCCGTTATAAAATGGAGGAGATGACCACGCGGAGCATTGCTGCGGCGCACACTGCGCCACTCGCAGACTGCCACGTGGCGTCCAAGAGGGTCAAGTCCCGAAGCGCGGATAATTTCGCTACCATCTTCTCTCCCGGTGCCTCTGAGGAGGGCGACGTTATGTGGGGCGGTGGCAACTTGGGAGAACCTTCCAGGAAGCTGCAGCAGAGAAAGGCGGGGGAGCGTGAAGGGGCGGGCGGGGTTGGCACTACGAGTACTAGTACTAGGGCTGCTGGTTTGGGGGGGCGGGTGCAGACTTTAGTAGAGTCGACTCAAAAGCCAGCTGCTGGTTGCGAGGAGTGGCAGGTGCAGGAATGCCGCGGAGCCGTGACTACTAATGCTCGTGCGACTCCTGACGGTGCGGAGGCTATCCGTGCAGAGGCTATCGATGAGGCCATCGCTGCTGCCTACGGTGCGGAGGCAATCCGTGCGGAGACCATCGATGCTGCTGACGGCGCAGAGGCGCCGCTGAAAGCGCCCTTGGATCCCGTCACCGCTGGTGCCTACATCGACATCTTTGCAGTCGCCGCCGATCAGAATCTAACCGCCGATCTAACCGCCGAACCTCATTTAACCGCCGATCCTCGTCTAATCGCCGACCCTCATCTAACCGTCGATTCTCCTGTTACTGGCGATCCTCATGTAACCGGCGCCGGCCAGTTCGGCGAATTAGGGTTCGATTTCGGGCAGTCGATCCTGCTCGACTCGCTGACCAGCGGCCAACCCGCAACTTCCCATCTGACGCCCACGCATAATCTGGGCGATACGACACATGACGCGATGCTGGCGCTCGATGCCATGCCTGCGCCTTGGGAGAGCGGCGGAGGAGAGACTAGAAGTATGGACATGAGCTGAAAAAAAAAAAAAAAAACAACAACAACAACAAAAAAAAACAAAACAAAAAAACAAAAAAAAAAACAAAAAATCCGCGGCGGAGGCGAGACGATGGGCATGCGCTACCGATCGCCGAAGCTGCTCGACTCAGAGTCTATTTTTTAGCTAAAGTCGATTTTTTAGCTCGTGTCAAATTGTTAGCTAGAGTCCAGGATTAGGTCCACCGGTGCTGCTCAAGACGCGATAACTGGGCGACCATCCGTTAATCGCTTGCATCTGACCGCGAAACGCGACGCGATACTACTGACCGAGGGACTGCGGATTCGAGCTAATGTTGAGGCTGCCGCCATGGCTCAGACAGCAGGTTGCTAGCAACGCAATCTGACCAAGTGTGAAAAAAAAAACGGATGGGTGTGGTGTGGTGGTTGGGTGGGAGTCTTGGGAATCCCGACTGGTTGGGTTGGGAGTCTTGGGAACCCTGGCTCCCAGTTTCGTCAGATAATGTTTGTTCTATACAGAATACGGGTTGCAAATAGGATTGTCCCGTTACACAAAATTATGGCACCCTAGATCCATTGTTTCTTGTTTGAAATACAGACTCCTTGATATGTTGCACATGCACCTGACGAAAGCTCCACTGAGGAGCGAACAGCATGTGAGATCCAGCAGAACACGTCAACCTAAGTCAGGAAAGCGAGCAACTACTGAAACACTGATCACCACTCAGCCGCTGCATCTTACCCATCATCTGCAAATTGTACCTGCAGTGCCACACCTGCTGTAAGTCTCAACTAAGTGACACCCAAGTGACACCCAAGTGACACACAAGTGACACCCACCATCCTCCTTGCCCCCACGCCATCAATCTACCATCGATCCCCAAGCCACCCTCTAAGGCTCGTAATTCAGCATTGGGCCGAGCCACTTCTCAGCCTCGGCAACAGGCATGCCCTTCCGCTGCGCATAATCCCCCACCTGATCCCCCAGGATCTTCCCCACTGCAAAGTACTGGCTCTTGGGTGCAGCAAAAATCAGCCCAGACACCGACGCAGCGGGCAGCATAGCCATCGATTCGGTCAGCTGAATTCCTGTCTCCTCCTCCACCTCCATTAATTTCCACATGACCGGCTTCTCTGTGTGGTCCGGCTGGCTGGGGTACCCCGGGGCAGGTCGAATACCCTGGTATTTCACCTTCAGCAGCTCGTCTACACTCAGATCCTCCTCCTTGGCGAACCCCCACACCTCCTTCCGAACCTCCCGGTGGAGAACCTCTGCCGCAGCCTCGGCGAGACGATCGGCGATAGCCTCGGCCATGATATAGCTGAAGTCATCATTGTCCTCCTTGAATTTCTGCACCATTTCCTCCAGTCCAAACCCGGACGAAACCACAAACATTCCCAGATAATCCTTCACTCCCGTGGTTGCCGGAGCGATGAAGTCAGATAGAGCCATGTAGGGTTCGTCATTCTCCTTCTCTGCTTGCTGCCGCAGCGTGTGCATGGTTTCAACCACTTCGCTCCTCGACTCGTCCTTATAGAGTACAATGTCGTCGCCCACAGAATTTGCAGGGTAAATCCCGACAATACCCCGCACCGTCAGCTTCTTGTTCTCCACAATGTCCCGCAGCATCGCCTGCGCGTCGTCGAAAAGTTTCTTCGCCTCCTGCCCGACCGTCTCGTCGTTGAAAATTTTCGGGTACCCGCGGTTAGGGTACCTGCCCCTCAGCTGCCACACCTGGAAGAACGGATTCCAATCAATGGCTGAGATTAACTCCTCGTTGATTGGGTAATCCTTGTACACCTTCGTCCCCAGCACGTTCGGAACGGCAGGAAGGTTCTCTGGAAGCTTCCAGTCGATCTGAAACTTGAGCTCCCGAGCCTTGCCGATAGGTACGTACTTCCGATCCTGCAGGCCAGCATAGTGCTCCTCCCGAAGCTCCGCATACGTCTCCCGGACGTCCGTCACAAAGTCATCCGTGGCTGTCGGATCGAGCAGGCTGGAAACCACCGGGACGCTGCGGGAAGCGTCCAAAACGTGAATAGTAGCGCCACTGTAGACGGGCTCGATCTTGACAGCCGTGTGCATGCGACTGGTTGTGGCTCCACCAATCAGAAGCGGGATCTTAAAGCCCTCCCTCTCCAGCTCCTTCGCTACAGTGACCATCTCGTCAAGCGATGGGGTAATTAACCCTGACAAACCGACCACGTCAGCCTTATGCTCCCGGCACGCGTCGAGGATCTTGGCACACGGCACCATGACACCCAGATCAACCACCTTGTAGTTGTTGCAGCCCAGCACGACCGCAACGATGTTCTTGCCGATGTCGTGCACATCGCCCTTTACTGTCGCGATAACCACGGTGCCCGCGTTGGCGGCTTGCTCCACCTCGGGGTTGGCCAGCCGCGCCTCCTCCTTCTCCTTCTCCATAAAGGGGATGAGGTGCGCCACGGCGCGCTTCATCACACGGGCGCTCTTGATGACCTGGAGGGAGGGGAGTGGGCAGAGCGGCAATAGGTGAGGTGCAAGGACAGCCAGGCGGGCCTCCTCCTTCTCCTTCTCCATTAAGGGGATGGCATGCGCCACAGGGGTATTTTGAGTGCGCCATGGGGAAGCCGATGGCTCGAAAATACACCTGGAGGTGCACCACAGCCCTCTTCAGGACCCGAGCGCTCTTGATGACCTGGAGAGGGAGTGTGGCAGAGAGGGAGTGTAAAGACAAGGAGGGAGAGAAGAAACTATGGGTGAGGAGTCTATTTTGAGGCGCCTCAAAAATAGACTCCTCACGCCTGGAGAGGGAGTGTGGCGGAGAGGGAGCGTAAAGACAAGGAGGGAGAGAAGAAACTGGACAGCCGGGCTTCCTCCTCCTTCTCCATAGAGGGGATGAGGTGTGCAGCCCTACAGTGATGTGCAGCAATCTCAAAAAGATATACAGCAATCTTCCAACCCTGACCCCATTTGAAGCAACATCAGAAGTCGCACCCAGGGAAGGCGGGCTTACCTGGGGGAGGAACATCTTGCCGGCGCCGAAGAGGTCGCCCACCACGTTCATGCCGTCCATCAGCGGCCCCTCGATGATGTGCAGTGGCCGCACATACTGCCCACACGTCCTCGCCTCCTCCACATCCGCCACCACATACTGGTCTATCCCCTTTACAAGCGAATGTGCTAACCGCTTCTCCACCGGCAGCTCCCTCCACGCGTCCTTCTCCGACTTATCCGCGCCGCCGCCCGCCTTCGGGTCCAATCTCGCCGCTAATTCCAGCATCCTCTCAGTCGCATCCGGCCGTCGATTCAGCACGCAATCCTCCACGTGATCTAGCAGCTCCTTGGGAATATCGTCATAGATGTCGATCTGCCCGGCGTTCACAATCCCCATGTCCATCCCGGCCTTAATCGCATGGTACAGGAACACTGAGTGAAACGCGCGTCGCACCGGCTCGTTCCCTCGGAACGAGAACGAAATGTTCGACACGCCGCCCGAGATCTTCGCGCCCGGGCAGAGCGCCTTGATCCGGGTCGTCGCGCGGAAAAAGTCCACTGCGTAGTTCGCGTGCTCCTCCAGTCCCGTCGCGATGGTCAGAATATTCGGGTCGAAGATAATATCCTCCGGGTTGAATCCGACCTCGTCAACCAGCATGTTGTACGCGCGCTGGCAGATGCGCACCTTGTCTTCCTCAGTGGCCGCCTGCCCCTCTTCGTCGAAGGCCATGACAACGACTGCCGCTCCGTGGCGCTTGATGGTGCGCGCATGGGCCTTGAAGGCGGCCTCGCCCTCCTTGAGCGAGATGGAGTTGACTATGCACTTGCCCTGCGAGCACTTGAGCCCCGCCTCTACCACGTGGAACTTGCTCGAGTCGATCATGAAGGGCACCTTGGCCACCTGGGAAGGAGGGGGCAATGATCACGGGGCAGATGCTCACATCCGGTTTGAGTCGACTCAGAAGTCAGCTTGATAAGGGTGCAGATTGGGAGTGAAAGAGAAAATGGGAGTGAGAGGGAAGGAGCACTTGAGCCCCGCCTCCACCGCATGGAACTTGCTCGAGTCGATCATGAAGGGAACTTTAGCCACCTGGCAAGGAGGGGCACAATAGTAAGGGTGCAGAGCAGACGCTCACATCCGGCTCCGTCACCAGGAGGTTGACGAAGCGGGTCATGGCAGCCATGGAGTCTATTATTGAGGCGCCTCAAAAACAGACTCCTCAAGCGGGTCATGGCAGCCATGGAGTCCAGGAGCCCCTCGTCGAAGTTGATGTCAAAGATCTGCGCGCCCCGCCCTCCTCCTTCCACCCTGAAACCCAATGCCCAGCGCCTTGTCCCAGTTGCCCTTCCCTACAGCACTTGTCCCAGTCTTCTCTCACTACTGAAACTCACATCAGCTTCTGAGACAAGGAGATTCACGAAGCGCGTCATAGCCGCCACGGAGTCCAGCAGCCCCTCGTCGAAGTTGATGTCGATAATCTGCGCGCCCGCCTCCACTTGAGCAATGGCGATGCTGAGCGCCCTGTCCCAGTTGCCCTTCCCCATTGAAACTCACATCAGGCTCAGAGACAAGGAGGTTGACGAAGCGGGTCATAGCAGCCACGGAGTCCAGCAGCCCCTCATCAAAGTTGATGTCGATGATCTGCGCGCCCGCCTCCACTTGAGCAATTGCGATGCTGAGCGCCTTGTCCCAGTTGCCAGCCATCACCGCCTTCTTGAAGATGCTTGACCCCGCCACGTTGCACCGCTCGCCGATGTTTATGAAGGGGATGGTTTCGGGCGTGTAGTTGAAAGGCTCCAGCCCGCTCACGCGCAGCAGGTTGCGCACCACGGGACGGGGGCGGGGACGAACGCCCTCCACCTGAAAGTGATCCAGGGTCGAGGGTTGAGGGTTGAGGGTTGAGGGTTTTGGGGAATAAGAGGATCAAGATAATTGAGAGGGATGAGAGGGTTGAGCAGTGGCAATGCTCCGCAACACTCACACTCCCCAAAACACCAACGCATCCTCCCAACACTCGCATCCCTCTCAACGCATTGGCAACACCAACGCATCCTCCCAACACTCACAACCCCCCCATAGCACCCGCAACGCCCGAGACGGCGCGGATGTGGTCGGGCGTGGTGGTGCCACAGCAGCCGCCCAGCACGTTCACCAGCCTGCCCGTGGGGAAGACTCTCACGTTCCCCCCAGCCCTTACGAGTTTTCACAGAGTGACCCCTCCCATTCCCCACTCCCCAAGACTCACAATGCTAGAGACGGCGCGGATGTGGTCGGGCGTGGTGCCGCAGCAGCCCCCCAACACAATGACGAGCTTGCCCGTGGCGAAGTCCCGCACGTTCTCAACCCCAGCCCTTCCATTTTTCCCCAGAATGATCACCCCCTCCTCCCCCACCCCCCCAACCCCCAGTCCCCAAGACTCACAATCCCAGAGACGGCACGAATATGATCGGGCGTGGTGCCGCAGCAGCCGCCCAGCACGTTCACCAGCCCGCCCGTGGCGAAGTCCCGCACGTTCTCCGCGAACTGCTGTGGCGTCTCGTCGTACCCGCCGAACGTGTTGGGCAGCCCCGCGTTCGGGTAGCAAATCACGAACGAATCCGTGAGCTGGAGGAGAAAGGAGGGCGGGGGGGGTGGGGGGGGGAATGGGGGATCGATACAGTATGCGCGTTACTATGTCTCGTCGTACCCGCCAAAGGTGTTGGGCAGCCCCGCGTTCGGGTAGCAGATCACGAACGAACCCGTGAGCAGGGGTGGGGGGAGGGGAGGTGTGGGGGGAGGGGAGGTGGAGAAGGCGGCGAGGAGTGGAGGGGTGAGGGACGTTGGGACGGGTAGGGGGAGGGAGAAAGGATGGGGGAACGCTAGTGGATGTGTCCGTACCCTGTACTTATGTATGCGGACAGGGCTGCCAAAGACAAGGCTCGTACCTTGTTGATGGTGTCCACGTATGGACGCATGCCCCTCGCCCCCAGCGCGCAGTTGAGCTCCAACAGGAAGATGAGGACGGGGGAAGGCGCGGGAGAGGGGGGGAGAAGTGGGGAGGAAGTGGGGGGTTGGGGTGGACTACGGCCATGGCTCGTACCTTGTTGATGGTGTCCACGTATGGACGCATGTCCCTCGCCCCCAGCGCGCAGTTGAGCCCGATCGCCATGGCGCGCGCGTGCGACACGCTGACCAGAAACGCCTCGCCCGTCTGCCCACTCAGCGTCCGCCCGCTGTTATCCACGATCGTACCGCTGATCATCACCGGCACATCGTACCCAACCTCTTCAAACACCTGGTCAACCGCGTACAGCGCCGCCTTGGCGTTGAGCGTGTCGAAGATCGTCTCCACGAGGAGAATATCCGCTCCCCCCTCCAGCAGCGCATGCACCTGCATCTTGTACGCGTCCACGATCTCATCAAACGTGCATGCGCGGAACGCGGGATTCTCGACACTGGGGGAAACCGACAGCGTCTTGTTCGTCGGGCCGACGGCGCCCGCGACGAAACGCGGCCGCGTGGGGTCCTTCTGCATCGACTTGGCCGTCGCGCGGAGCGCAACCTTCACCGCCTCGATATTAATTAGCACCACCTCTTCCTCCGCCTGGAGCTCGTAATCCGCCTGGGAGATACACGTCCCGTTGAACGTGTTCGTCTCAATGATATCCGACCCCGCGTCCAGGTACTCCGAATGAATCCCTTCGATCACATCGGGGCGCGTTATAACGAGGATATCATTATTCCCCTTGAGGTCGTTAGAGTGGGTCTTCCAGCGCTCGCCGCGGAAGTCCTCCTCGCGGAGCTTGTGACGTTGGATCATGGTGCCCATGGCGCCGTCCAGCAGCAGAATCCGCTGCCGCATCATCGCCTCCAGGGACTCGAACAGGTCGCGCCGCACCATGGCCACGTTCTTCGTGCCGTCCGCGTTAGTGGGAGACTCGGGATCGATACGTGACGCGCCGTCCACGATGAAGCTGAGGAAAGGGGGATGGGTGTGCGGGAAGGGAGAAAGAGTGGGATGGGAGAAAGAGCGGTAAGCGGAAGTGACAAGGGTATGGGGTAGCTTCCTAGCATGTTGCACAATCTTGATTTTCTAAGGCACACGCGACGTCCGCTACTCCGTAAATCTTGATTTTCTCAGGTTCACTCAACGCCCACATTCCGTAAATCCAGATCGGCTAGATAATTTATGAACGAACCTGTATTCGATCGGTCCCTGGGGACACGTGTAGTCGATGTAGAACTGGCCGGGACTAGCAGCGGACGGCTTCATGGGGACGGGCACGCCGCCGGAGAAATCCCCCACCACCTCCACCGCGGACCCGCCATACGGCCAGATAAACTGCGTTATCCCCAGCTCTGCACGCACGGGGGTCAGCCGAGGGGAACGGAAGGCAATTCAATTTCAGTTCACTGTCAATTCACTGTCAATGTCCGACTGGGATCGACTGTGTGTAAACGTGCAGGCAAGCAGATGATTCCCAGCTCTGCACGCACAGGGATCAACCGGGAGGAACGGAAGGCAACTCAATGTCAATGACAGACTGGGATCGACCGCGTGCGCACGTGCAGGCAAATACAGCGACAAGATAAATATGGTTTCTAGGCTCGTTCCGATCTCACAAGCGACGATGTCTCGTGCATGCCAGGACGGACGGAAAGGCCTCGCGACGACTTACTGTCTTCTGCCTTGGGAGGAGGACGGCGAGCAGATGCCAGCGGGATGACCCCTGAATCAGTAAAAACAGGACGCAACGGAAAAGGGTTTCTGACTCAACATGAGTACAATTCACGGAATGTCAATACAGTTTTCACGGAAACGAACCAGAGGCTTTGTGCCTGCTTAACTAGTAGAACGACGGATCAGATGTTTGGTGAATTCAACTCGCTTTAGTGCAGTTTGCGTAAGATCGGCCTTACCAGATGCAGCAGCCTTGGCTGCCGAAGGCGCAACGGCAGCAGCAGCAACGGGTTTCTCCGCCTTAGGCTCTTCCTTCTTAATTTGTGCGGAAACCGACGGCTCGTCCGCCTCAGCCGGTGCAGCCACGCGCTTCTCAGGCGTGGCTGCAGTGGACACCGTCGACGACTCGTCGCTCTTCCGCTTCGAGAAAAAGGCGAAAAGAGCTCCGAAAAGGGCGGCGATCAGGATGACTATCGCGGAATGCGCGATCGTACGCCAGGCTACCGCTACGGCGAGGATAAGCACCGGCGCTACAGACTGACGCGCTAAGCGACCGAAGTCCATGGCTGAAGACTGCTACTCGACCCAGAAGGGTCACGACTTGGGAAAATCGGAAAGCAGCCAGTCTAGAAACCAAGCAGCGATATTTCGCTCACTGACAAGGCACGACACAGAAAGCCTCCAGACAAAGACCAGATGGGAAGGAGGAGTAGGGATCAGGGAGTAGCCGACGGAATTACTCTCCTATATCAGGCTAGTAGAGTGAGGCAGTGAGCAGAAGCAAGGGAAGAGAAAGGATTACTGGGAGAGGATATGAGATCAGTTGAGTGGAGGGTGTTCTCGAGGGAAGCAGGGCGATGGGCGAAAAGGACTACATTCGCTAAGATTTGACGAAATTCGCCCGATCCCAAATCTTGAAGCTTCGAGACTGCCGCGAGCTTGACGAAGTTTTCGCGACGGTCGCCTGTCCCCCAAATCTTGAAGCAGAGAGACAGCCGCGAGTGTCAAGGAGTGTGAGTTTTCCCGCACTCTGAGGGGTGAAGGAGAAAGCAACACGTGGCGATAGGCTTTTGACGATGTGTCAGAGGTCACTGGGACTGGCGTCCCCGATCCCTCCTGTCCTGCGACATGCTGACGCGACTCGTTATGAAATATTCTGCATAAACCATGCTCGTGTAGCAATTTACATACAAATCGGTACTTCCATTCATACACAAATTTGGGTGTGACCATCCATTGAGCCGTAGCTGTAATTTATGAGCGCTGAAAGCAGAAATAAGAGACATAGCAATCCGCATTGCTGTCTTTGCAAGCAGAGAACTATTCTGGTCCTAGCCTTCTCGCCCCTAACTTCCCACCTGTCGACCGTGAAACGCGGTGGTCTTCGCCGCAGCCATGGCGTCGCTCGTTTCCTCCGCGGTGTTCCCGTCCGCCGTCGCCGCGCCTGTCCTGCCGGCGCGCCGGAGAATTGGGGCGAATGGCGCCGGTTCAGCCGCGTTCCTTAGGTCGCCAGTATCGAGTCCCCTCAGCAATGCGTTTCAGGTCCGTATTTTCCAATGGGCCATAGTGGTTGAAAACTGCTCTCCCTAGAGTTTACAGCCTTGTAGCTTGTTGAATGGTCTCCGGGCGAATGGCGCCAGCTGCGCACCGTCTCATTTGTTTCTCCCGTCGTTTTCATCCGCCGCCCGTCCCTCCGCCGTTTCCGCTCCCACGTTAGGTCTCTCGATTCCGCACTCCTGCCTCTCGTTTTCCCGAACTACCTCCCCATTTCCGATTCGATTTCCAGGGTACGCCCGTGAATCGCGCTACCATTCACGCGAACAAGCAGCAGGCGGTGCGAGCAGCGGGGAGCGCGGCGGTGATGGCGGCAGCGTCCAAGGGAACGAGTAAAGGCACGGTGGTGGTCGAACCGGACCCTCGCATCCCCATCGTGCTGCTGGGTACGCGTAGTGAACTCCATTTGACATCACGTCATATGATGTTTCTATATGTCATCTTCACTGTAGCCTATTGTACAGTCTCGGTGGTGGTTGAACCGGACACTCGCATTCCGACCCTTCTCCTTGGTACATGCCACAACCCTTGTGTCATGTCATGTCTCGTACCCCGTTCCCTAGTTTTGAGGCGCCTCAAAACTAAACCGTTCCCTCCTCCCCCTTCCGATTTCTGCTTCCCCTCCCTTACCCCTCCCCCCCCCCCCCCCCCCCGCCCCCTCTCCTTTCCTCCCCTCTTTTCACCCCCTTGCCCCTCTCAGAGCTCCCCCCATTGTGTCTCTTCTCTTGTTAACACCCCCCATTTCCCCCTCCTCCATTCTCCCCGCCTTCCTCCCTTCCCCCCTTCCCCCCCTCTCCTCCCCCCGGGCCATCAGATGCATCACGTGCTCTCTTCCTCCCTTCCCCCCCTTTCCCCTCTCCTCCCCCGGGCCATCAGGTGCATCCCGTTCTTGTTGCCCCCACTCAGGGGACAACTTACCCCCCCACGAACCCCTTACCCCCCCACCCCCCACTTTCCCGCTCCTCCTTTCTCCCCCCCCAACCCCCTCTCTCCTCCCCCGGGCCATCACGTGCATCCCGTGCTCTCTTCCTCGCGGACAACAAGCACGCAGCCGCCCCCATCCACATGCCGAGGCGCCGCTCCCAAACCCCTCCCTCCCCATCCCCCTTCCCCCCTGGTTCCCCCTCCCCCTCCCCCCCCCCCCTCATTCCTCCTCCCCTCTCCTCCCCTCTCCTCACTCCTCTCTCTCCCCTCTTCAATCAGGTGTATCCGGAGCTCTCTTCGCTGCAGACAACAAGCTCGCAGCTGCTCCCATCAGCTGTTGAAGCGTTTCAACCTCACCCCCCCCCCCTTCCCACCCCCCCCCCTTCTCCCCCCCCACCCCCTTTACCCCCTCCCCCCGTTTCCCCCTCTTCAATCAGGTGTATCCGGAGCTCTCTTCGCTGTGGACAACAAACTCGCCGCTGCTCCCATCGGCCTGCTCGGTGCTCTCCTCGCCTTTCAGGTGCTGTGCCTCTGCTTCAGGTGGTCGTCAGGTGCTTTCAGGTGCTGTGCCTCTGCTTCAGGTGGTCGTCATGTGCTTTCAGGTGCTGTGCCTCTGCTTCAGGTGGTCTTCAGGTGCTTTCAGGTGCTGTGCCTCTGCTTCAGGTGGTCTTCAGGTGCTTTCAGGTGGTCGTTTGCTCTGCGTCTCTTTCCGGTGCTTTCAGCATCTTTCTTTCCGAGATGACACGTGAAGCCGGCTTGGGAATTCACTATTCCGCTGCGCGCTCCACCCCATGCTTTCCGTAATACCACATGCGTGCGCTTCATCTTTACTGCGGAGGCACCGGAGGTGCGGATTGGCATGTGGACCCAGCTTGGGATTGGCGTTTCCGTCCATAGTTGTCCATATTTGTCCATATTTTTTCCTCTTCGCTGCAGCCCACCCTTACGCTTAATGGCTACAAGTCCATATTTGCACCCCACGGGTCCATAAGGGACCTAGTTCAAACCAATGAAAGTTTGTCCTTTGTCCCTTATGGTTTGAACTAGGTCCCTTATGGAAAAATGACTTTTGAGTAGACTCAAAAGTCATTCCCTTATGGACCCGTGGGTTACAAATATGGACCCATATTTGGTTGCATCCTTTCATACAGACCACACGGATGTGTTTTGTTTTTGAGAATCCTCAAAAACCACACGGGCACGCTTTTAGGTCATGGAGGACAACGCGGGTGCGCGTGTGGTCCTCCGCACTGTCCAGTGCGCGTTGTGTGTGGTGTGCGCACGGGAGGTGCGGATCGGGCAGCAGCTGGGGTTGTCGTTCAAGCTGGTCCTCACTCTGCCTTTTGTGCTGCGTGCAGCTGGGGTGTGCCTTTCAAGCTACTCTCTGCACACCCCTCGCCCTCTCCTTCAGACCTGGGGTGCGCTTTGTGTTCACGGAGGAGGCGCTGGAAGTGCAAATCCGGCAGCAGCTGGAGTTGTCGTTCAAGCACTACTCTCTGCACTACTCTCTGCACTACTCTCTGCACTATTCTCTGCACACCCCTCGCCCTCTCATCCAGACCACGCGGGTGCGCTTTGTGTTCATGGAGGAGGAGGACGCACTGGAGGTGCGGATGGATGGGGCAGCATGTCATGTTGCTTGCGGGCTTGTCTTCCAATGTGCCCCCCTCTGCGCTCCCCTCTGCGCTCCCCTCTGCGCTCCCCTGCTGACCCCATGCATCCCTGCCAGACCACGCGCGTGCGCTTTGTATTCACAGAGGAGGCGCTGGAGGTGCGGATCGGGCAGCAGCTGGAGTCGTCTGGGGAGAACGTGTTTGTGGGCGGCGAGAACAAGTGGAAGTGAGTTGACGTGAAACCCCATGCACGGAAACTTGATCTGTGAAAGCCGGGCTGTGGAAGCCGGGCTGTGGAAGCCCGGCTGTGGAAGCCGGGCTGTGGAAGCCGGGCTGTGGAAGCCGGGCTGTGGAAGCCGGGCTGTGCAAGCCGGGCTGTGCAAGCCGGGCTGTGCAAGCCACGCTGTGGAAGCCGGGCTGTGAAAGCCGGGCTGTGGAAGCCGGGCTGTGCAACCGGGCTGTGGAAGCCGGGCTGTGCAAGCCGGGCTGTGGAAGCCGGGCTGTGAACCTTTCCGTTTTTCTTCCTTCGTGGTCTCCTCATCACATGCTGCTTGTTTCATCATCACATGCTGCTTGTTTCCTGTGGTGTCTTTCTTGTGTTTAATCTGTGTGTATACTCTGTGCTTACTCCTCCCCCCTTCACCCCAGGTACGACACCTTTGTCAACTGGGAGTTCTGGTGGCCGGCCTTCCCTGTGCTCGTCTATTTCAAGGAGACCCAGACTCGCCCCGAGGGGCAGGTCCACTTCTTCCCCATCATTGCCGTAAGGATGGATTGTTGCAATGTGTATGTGTATTTCAAGGAGACCGAGACCTACTCCGAGGAGCTGAGTGTGGTAACTCCACTTCTTCCCCATCTTTGTGGTAAGTCATTGTCTTGGAGGCATACAGTGTACATGTGTGTACAGAAACCGGTGGGTATCCCACCGATGGGTATCCCACCGACGGGTATCCCACCGATGGGTTTCCCTCCGATGGGTATCCCTCCGACGGGTATCCTGCCGACAGGTATCCTGCCGATGGGTATCCCACCGATGGGTATCCTATTGATGTATCTGGAGCATGTTTGAGCATCGTCACTCAACCCGTCCTTTCTCTGCTGATCCCCCCATGCTCTCTCTCTTCACTACAATCACATTTAGCATGGCAAGCAGCTGTGCGATGTGATGGTTGACCGATGCAGTTCCTCCAAGGAAATATGCACACGCGTACCATCATCTCTCCACCTCCAAGGAAATACGCATCGGAAGCCGGGCATCGGAGAGGTGATGGTATGTGGTACGCACACGCGTACCATCATCTCTCCCCCTTCTCTCTCTCCCCCCTTCCCCTCCCCCCCCCCCCCCCCCCCGGGTTTCACCACTGCAGAACGGCAAGCAGCTGTACGATGTGACAGTGGGGCGATGCAGCCCCTCCAAAGGCACGCCCCCAGACACACCCCATCAATCATCCCCTTCCTCCCCACCCCCCGTCTCCCTCCCTCCCCTCCCCCCTCCCTGCCTTGCGCCACTGCAGAACGGCAAGCAGCTGTACGATGTGATGGTGGAGCGATGCGGTCCCTCCAAAGGCAGTGGGCCGTCTGCTTGACACCTGACTACCACATGTGGTCTATTTGTCTACACTCGTACAAGTGGCCCTTATGATTATTATTTCACTAGTGATGATGCCAAAGTTTGCTGATTAAACCCATTAATGCATTATGGCTAACATGCAACTGTTAAGTTGCACGTAATTCACATGAAGCTGTAATTGGTGAAGGGTGGACATTGTGAGTTACAGTAATCCCCTACTGCAAGTAACTTAATAAACTTAATAACCTAATAGACTGATAACTTAGTACTCGCTACTGCAAGACCTAGCAACCACAGTTGTGGATCTCAGCAAGAGTGATGCAAAGTTGTACTGTGTTCACAACCCCTAAGGTACTCCTACACTTGCCCCTGTGGCTGTGCTGTTGGATTTCCTGGTGCTGCTACTGCTGCTGCTGGACCTGGTGCTGGTGCTGCTGGTGCTGCTGGTGGGAAATCCGTGAGGTTTTGGAGCACGGATAGAGACTGAACAGCATCGGACATGAGAGGCCGTTCCTTGGGATCCTTCTTTAAGCAGTTATATGCCAGCCTGGCAGCTTTCACCACGCCTTTTACCGAGAACCGGTTTGCCAGCCGTTGATCCACGATCTGGACCAGCATCCGACGGTCGGCAAAGAACGGCGCCGACCACTCCACTATGTTTTGCTGCCCGGGCGGAAAGTTTCGCTCGACTGCCCGCCGCCCGGAAATTATCTCCAGGAGGACAACACCAAAGCTGTAGACATCAGATTTGGCGGTCAGATGCCCTGCGGAGAGGGAGGAGGGGGAGGAGGGGCGGGGAGGGGCTTTACCTGTGAGCATGTACTCGGGCGGAGGGGCTGTACCTGTGAGGATGTACTCAGGCGGAGGGGCTTTACCTGTGAACATGTACTCGGGCGGAGGGGCTGTACCTGTGAGCATGTACTCGGGAGCAGCATAGCTGTACCTGTGAGCATGTACTCGGGAGCAGCATAGCCGTACGTGCCCATGACTCGCGTCGACACGTGGGTGTCGCTGCCCACCGGCCCATCCTTTGCCAACCCGAAGTCCGACAGCTTGGCGTTGAACTCCTGAGAGGGGGAAAGGGGGTAAGACCGGGGGGGGAGGGAGGGGGAAGATGGGGGAAATGGGGGGCGGAGATGGGAGGGGGGGGGAAGGGGGGAAGGGGGGCTGGAGGGGGGGGGGGGGAGTTGCAGCAAGGAGAAGAGTGGAGGGGATGGGATGGGAGAAGGGGGAGGGGAGGGTGGGGGGGGGAGGGGTGGGGAGGGGGGAGGGGGGAGGGGGAGGGGGGAGGGGGAAGGGGAGGGGGAGTGGGGGGAGAAAGGAGGAAAGGAGGGGAGAAACTGCCGTTGCCCACTGGCCCATCCTTGGCCAGCCCGAAATCAAAGAGTTGGTAGTTGATCTCCTGGAGTTGACCTCCTGGATTTGACATTCAAGAGTTGACATTCTGGAGTTGACCTCCTGGGGTTGACATTCTGGAGTTGACATTCTGGAGTTGGAAACACGCCGAGCAGCAACACACTCACCCGACCCACCAGGATGTTGGATGCCTTGAAGTCGCGGTAAATAACTTGTGCCTCTGTCTCCTCGTGCAGATATGCCAGTGGGGGCCTTGAACCCTCTGGTAGCTTGCAGAGCCACCCTCTAGGTCCCGAAGCCCCATGGCACGACACTCACCCTGTCCACCAGGATGTTGGACGCCTTGAAGTTGCGATAAATGACCTGCGCGTCCGTCTCCTCGTGCTAAAAGAAAATTTTAACTCCTCCATGCAAAACTCGAGCCAGAAGCAGCACTCACCCTGTCGACCAGGATGTTAGACGCCTTGAATTCGCGATAAATAACTTGTGCCTCTGTCTCCTCGTGCAAAGCAGATATGCCAGAAAGGGCCTAGAAGCCCCTAGAAGCAAATCCCCATGGCAACACCTATCCTTCCAGCAGCAAGGAGCACTCACCCTGTCCACCAGGATGTTGGACGCCTTGAAGTCGCGGTAAATAACTTGTGCCTCCGTCTCCTCGTGCAGATACGCCAGGCCTCTCGCTGCATGCAAGGCAACCTTCATGCGGATGTTCCACGGCAGAGGGGTCACGTTGCCTGGTGGGATAGCAGGAAGGGGAGGGGAAGGAGACAGACGGGACAGAAGAGGTAGTGTTGAAAATACGCCAGGCTTCTCGCAGCATGCAGAGCCACCTTCACGCGAATGTTCCAAGGCAGGGGGCACGTCTGCACCCTATACTGACACCTCTCTCAATACATCCAACACGTTGTGGGTGTCTATACCCCATACACTCACACCGCCATGCCCATACAGTCACATCACCATGCCCACACGGTCACATGCCCACTCACGTCTGAAGAGGTATCTCTCAAGACTGCCGTATTCCATCAGCTCGTACGCCAGCAGCCGGTGCTCGCCCTCCATGCAGTACCCCACCAGCCGCACCAGGTTCGGGTGCCCCAGCGCGCCCAGGTACCGAACCTCCGTCTGAAGTTAGGCAGTGGAGGGGGGGGAGGAGGAGGAAGGGGAGTGGAGGGGCCTAAAAAAAAGTTGGGCAGTGGAGGGGGGGGGGGGGGAGGAGGAAGGGGAGGGGAGGGAAGGGGAGAGGGGAAACAAACACCCAGTCACTTCACCGCCCTCCATGCTGTACCCCACCAGCCACACCAGGCTCGGTTGCCCCAGCGCGCCCAGGTATCTCGCTTGGGTCTGTGGAAACATGAGGCAGGGGCAAGTTGGGAAAGAGGGGGATATTTTTCAGGCGCCTCAAAGATATTTTTGAGGCGCCTTAAAGATATTTTTGAGGCGCCTCAGAAACATGAGGCAGGGACAAGTTGGGAAAGAGGGGGCGAGCACCTTCCCAACTTGCATGGGTGCATGGGTGCATGGGTGCATGGGTGCATGGGTGCACCCATGCATCGTTTCACCTTCCCCCATGCAGTGCACCACCGGCCGCACCGGGTTGGTTTTGAGGCGCCTCAAAACAAGCCGCACCGGGTTGGAGAACCCCAGCATAACTTCCATAACCATCCCACCCCACTCTCGCCCCACACTCACCCCACACTCACCCCACACTCACCCCACACTCACCCCACACTCACCCCACACTCACCCCACACTCACCCCACACTCACCCCACACTCACCCCACACTCACCCCACACTCGCCCCACACTCGCCCCACACTCGCCCCACACTCACCCCACACTCACCCCACACTCACCCCACACTCACCCCACACTCACCCCACACTCACCCCACACTCACCCCACACTCACCCCACACTCACCCCACACTCACCCCACACTCACCCCACACTCACCTCACACTCGCCCCACACTCACCCACACTCACCCCACACTCACCCCACACTCACCCCACACTCACCCCACACTCACCCCACACTCACCCCACACTCACCCCACACTCACCCCACACTCACCCCACACTCACCCCACACTCACCCCACACTCACCCCACACTCACCCCACACTCACCCCACACTCACCCCACACTCACCCCACACTCACCCCACACTCGCCACCCGTTCCGCCTCGCCCTGCTACCCCTCCTGATTCACCGCCCTCACAGCAACCTCCTCCGTCCCACATGCACCCTCTCCTAGTCGATCTGTGCATACGTCTACGTATAGTCTATTATTGCGGCGCCTCAAAAGATAGACCCCACACGCACCCTCTCCTAGTCCATCTGCGCAGTGCAGTGCAGTGCAGTGCAGTGCATGCATTCTAAGCGTAGCAGTTCCATGCCATGCCCATCCCCCCCGTCCCACCCCGCACCCGCACTCACCACCCATTCCGCCTGTAATGAGTCGATTTTTTAGTCGACTCAAAAAAAATTAGTCTGACTCAAAAATCGACCCATCCCCCCTTCCCACTCCGCACCCACACTCACCACCCATTCCGCCTCGCCTTGATACCCCTCCTGGTTCAGCGCCTTCACAGCAACTTCCTCCATCTTCCCCCCTCCCACATGCACCCTTCCCTTGTGCACACTCCCGAATCCGCCCTCCCCCAGCTTGCCCTCCCTGCTGAACCCGTTAGTAGCCTCGAACAACTCGTTATAAGAGAACTGAAGGAGGGTGGCGGCTATCTGCACGCTCCCAGCTGTCGCTCCCTGGCTGCCGTGGCTCTGAGTCAGGCTCGGGCCGACACTAGAACCGTGGCTGAGGCTTGGGCTGGGGACCTGGCTTGGCTCCTGCTGCGGCAGCGCTTCCTGCTGTGGCTGCTGCGGCTGCTGAGGTGGCGGCTGGTGGTGTGGCGGCTGCTGATATGGCGGGTGCGGATGTGGCGGGTGCTGGTGTGGCAGCTGCAGATTCGGCGGTTGCTGATGTGGCGGTTGCTGATATGGCGGCTGCTGATGTGGCGGTTGATGGTGCGGCGGCTGGTGATGCGGTGGCTGCTGATGTGGCTGTCGCTGGTATGCGGGTAGCTGACGTGGCGACTGCAGATGTGGTGACGAGGTGCCATTACGTGTCACGCCACTAGGCGCGGCGCTCTGCTGCCCGCTGGCCGTCCCGCTAGTAGCCCCACTAACTGTCCCGCTATTAACCGTACCGCTATTGACTGCTCCGTTATTAACTGTCTCGGCACGGTAACCGCTGCTGTCTGCACCCGTGCCGACGCTACCCGACGGCTTGAGCCCGAGAATAACGTCCACGGGAGCGACGGTGTATTCGTGCGCTGCTTCGGGCTCTTTACGTCCCGGCGACGAGGCCCTGGGTCTCCTTGGCGTACCTGTCGCGAGAGGGGACCCTTTTGGGCCTGGCGTCAAAATACAAAGAGGGGGGCAGGGGGGAGGGAGTTGGGGGGGGGTGGGAGTGAAGAGGAGGGGGGGGGGAGGGGGCGGGGGGGTGGGTGGGTGGTTTGGGGAGGGCGAAGAGGGTAGGCTTGGTACTCAATTTAGACAGCTAAGCGGCTTCGGCCCCTTTGCGTCCCGGCGACGAAGCCCTGGGTCTCATTGGCGCACCGCCCGCGAGAGGGAAACCTTTTGGCCCTGGCGTAGAGATACAAAGGAGTGGGGTGCGGTGTGGGGTGTGGGGTGTGCGATGTGGGGGCTGGGGGGTGGGGAAAACGAGCAAGAGCCGGCTTATAACGAAGATGGAGGTTGACGGGTTGGGCTTGGTAGTTTAGTCAGTCAGTTACGTTTATTTGGACGCGTAAGTTGCCGTTCTTCGCGCATAAGCAGTTCGTGATTCCTAGTTCTACCCGACGCGTTTTACGTACCATT